AATTAAGGGCCTATATCCATATACATATGCACATAGATACATATGTATATTTACACACATACACAACACAGGTGTACACACATTAAAATTACTAGGACACTTACCAAAATAAAAACAGTATTTCAGAAATACTTCAGTAGATTTTTTAAAAGGCTTTATGTAGGTATTTTCTCTGGAAATAGTCTCCAGAATTACAGTGATTTAATGCTGTAAGAGTGAAATCTTCTGGTTTCTGATTCCGGGTAGTAATGCGACATATTCTGCAAAATTTGATGATGTTGACATTGTGAGGGGAACTACTTTATGAAACAACCACTACTATTGTTTTTATTGAAATGATCCTAAGAAATAAAAGTAGAAGGGGAGATCTTATTATAATATGATACTAGATTATAGATGCCCTGATGGCATGAGCATTTTATCTTTTTTGTTCATTGCTATACTTTTCAGTTCTTGGCATATATAAGTACCCAGTATTTGTTGTGTGAATGGGTGATGAATGGCACAGATTATCTACCATGTTTTGTTATCTGAATTTTTTTTAACATGGTTACTTAAATTGCTAGAAAGCACATTCCCAGCCTTGGAATGAAAAGCATTTATTGATTGTAATAAATAAGTGAAGAAAAAAATACAAAACTCTAGAGAAGACAGAAATTTATTCCTTGTTTATACTTCACAATATATGTAATTAACAAAATTCCAGTTGTTTACATTTAGAACATTCTTAAATTGATAGAATTTGAAGATCTGATATCTCACCTCTGCCCTCATATCCATACTACTGTATCAGGTGACTGCTCAGGAGCACTTTTACATCATTATTAATGCAACAAAGGAGTAGCTCTTTGGTGTAAAGCATGACAGTGAACAAAAGGTCTTAGAATCTAATGGAGTTGAGGAAGCTAAACAGATTATTATGCTAGGAGAATTTAACAAGCTTATAGGTCTTTCAACAAATATACTGAAGATGAGACTAGCTTGGTAAATAAGTCATTAAGAAAAATAGAAAAAAGAATTCTGAATTTTAACTTGTGTTAAATGATTTTCAGATGAAAATCAGAACCCTTTAACCCATTAGCCTAAATTGCTATTAGGAATGATAACATTTTCTGTTCTAATAAGCAGAAAAACCATACACTGATTGGTATTTACTGTATTTTCATGTATAATATTTTTTTCTTGCTTATTTATAAGACCTATATACTAATGATGCTTACTGACTTTCCATTGGTGTTATTTTTATTAAATAATAATGAATTTTTAAAGTGCCGTTCAGAATGGTTTGGGGGGGGCGTGTGTATTTTAAGATAGCCCATGTTTAGAGTTACCATAAAGGTAGTCTGCTTTTCCTTTGTCAGCTCCCCTCACACCACACACTTCATTGTTCTTTTTCCTGACACTGACTTACTGAAGAGAACAGACCATTTGTCCTGCAGCATGATCTTCACTCTATGGTGTTGTTCAGTATGGTTCCTTAGAATATTCTTCTTATCTTTGTGATGGCTACAAATATAAAATATATTCATTTGGCCAATTTAGAAGAAGTACAATAAAGACAAAAAATATGAATAGTTTATAATTTTTTACCTAGGGGTAACTACAGTTAACAATTTTCATTATAGTCTTTCTTATGCAGATTTAAAAAAATAATTCAGAGCATACTGATTATGTACCCAATATTTTATTGATTCTCTTTAAATATAATTTAAATGGCTAATATTGTTTTGTATTATAACGTAGCTGTTTAAGTTTTCCTATATTGCTTGAACTTTTTATTACAGTATAAACAGGTGCTGGGGATTTAGCTCAGTGGTTCCACCACCTGCCTTGTAGGCACAAGGTCTCGAGTTCAATCCCCAGTACCAAGGGGAAAAAAAAAAATTGAATACAATATAAACAGTGATGAGCGGGGATGATGCCAGGCCTGTCTTGCAAGCGCAAGGTCCTGAGTTGGATCCTCAGTACCAAAAAACAAAACAATATAAACAGTGATAACAGACCTATGAATACAAATTTGATATTTCTGATTATTCTCTATAAATTCTTACATGAGTTATAGGCCAAAATATATATATATATTTTTTTGGTACCGGGGATTGAACTTGGGTCCTTCCGCTTGCAAGGCAGGTGGCGGAACCACTGAGCTAAATCCCTGGCCCTATAGGTCAAAATATTAAAAACTCAATGAATGTTTTTTATAAAAGGTAATTCCTGGGCTGGAGATGTAGCTCAGTGGCATAGTGCCTGCTTGGCAAGCACAGGGCCCTGAGTTCAATTCCTGGTACCAAAAAAATAAAAGGCAATACCATAATTTGCTCTTAGTGTCTCAAGATACAACATACTATTCTGGTAATAATTGCTGTCCTCTCCATTGTCTTATCTTTTTAGATCTTTGTCCTCTGATGTCTAATACAAGTTGCATTGTTTCATTTGTCCAGCTTTTATTATTTCTTTCTCCTTTCTGATTTTTGTAGCATTAAGTCTACAGCATTCCATGAGGCACCTAGCGTTGCTGGGGATTTGCTCAGTGGTTTCACCATCTGCCTTGCATGCACAAGGTCCCGAGTTCGATCTTTCGTACCACAAAAAAAAAAAAAAGTATGGTATTTCCATGAGGCACCTAGCCAAATTTAATTCAAATGTAATATATGATGGTACATCATATACTTTGACCTTTGACTTCGGTAATATGGACTCCTCCCTTCTCTGATAATTTAGAAGACCATACTAAATGTTTTGGTGGAATTATCAGTAACCATTTTGAACTAGAAAGACCTTTTAAACACATTTGCCTTCAGTCACTTAAAATTCCCAGCATTGTCCTTGTTTGATGTCTTAAGACATCATCTGATCTGTTGGTGATTTAAAAAAATATTAATTATGTCAATGTATAAGTCATTTGTTTTCTTAAATTCTCCAGTTTTAAATTTCAGAAACTTGGCATTCATATCTCAAGAGCAGTTTTTTGGGAGAAAGATTGAACATTAGAAGGCTACTTTATATATGATATGTTTACATTATTTTACCATTCTTCTAGTAAACAGAATTACTGCTGAGTAGTGTTTTATTTTCTCTAAATTTATAAAATGTTACTATTTTTTTCTTTTTGCACTGCTGGAAATTGAACCTAGCACCTCCCTTCTTCTAGGCAAGCACTCTACTAGTAAGCTACTTCCATAGCCTATAATTTTTTGAGCCTATGGTGATTTATGTGTATAAAATTGATTTAAAACATCTAGGATTACTTCCTGATGTTAGTATTTTAAATTGAGCGTACATGATTATATTGTCTAAAAATAAGATAATAAAAGGTAGTGTGGAATGGTGGAATCAACGTTCGGCAGGAATTAGGAGATCTGACTCTGTGATCTTAGGAAAATTTCTTTTGGGGATATTAATTTTCATATCCATAAAATGAAGGAGTTAAAGGAAATCAGCACAGGCTTTGGAATCTAATAGACTTGGCCTCTGATCCTCAGCCTGCTTTAATTTACTTAGTCACATATTAGCCCTGTTTCCTCACCTGTAGCATAGAAATTATAGCACTTATATCATAAAATTATTGTGAGTGCTAATGAAATAATACATTTTAAAAAACCCTTAGATTAATGTCTTTGGAGAATAAAAATGTTAACTATTATTATTAGATGATCTTTCATGCCTTAACAAACTTCAGAGAAGAGTTTGAATTATATGATACCATAACCTCAGGAACTTGAGCATTACTGATAATATTTAGGGAAATGATTATTTTTTTCTGTTGCTTCCCATTGTAATGACATATGAAAGCTTGTCCTTCTTGAGTATTATCTCCCCTTTGTAGTTCTTGAAAATACCTATTCTATGTCATCCTTCCTGGGCTTTACTCTCCAATATCTAAAGTGAAAATTGAATGTTACTTGGGTCTTAACACTTGTGCTTCTTTAATTATTATTAAGTTTTCTTTGCTCCTTTCCCAATCTCCTTTCCCTTCTTCATCTTACCCCCATATGATCCTAATACTGGACTTTTTTTATATCAAAAGACAGAATTAGTGTCTAGTAACTTATGAAGCAGACAGTTTGAAACAGGGGTGTCATAATCATAGGTTAGAAATTGGATTACTGTGTGATAGGGTCTTAGTTACTTTTTTGTTGCTAGGACAAAATACCTGCCACCCACAAGTTAACAGAGAAGAGCTTTGTTGTAGCTCAGTTTGTAGAGGTTTCAGTCCATAGTCAGCTGGTTCTAAGGCAGGGCAGCATGGCAGAGGAGAAACAGTCCATGGCAGGGTAGGTGGAAAGCAGCTCTCCCGCCTTCCATCTTTCCTTTTATATTCTACCCAGGCCATTACTTGGTGCTACCTACACCCAAGGGTGCGGCTTCCCATTACTCACACCCAGAACAACCAAATAATCAGTGGACTAATCCAAACGTCACACCCTAAATCCAGCGGCCTCCAAAAAGCCCCACCTATGAGCACATGAAGCTTTGGGGGGACATCTAGATACAAGCCATAACAGATAATACAAAATTCAGTTTAAAATTCTAATATTTGTCTAGAAAGACAAAAACATACAGAGATTGGGGACTGGGGATATAGCTCAGTGGTGCCTCACCTGCCTGGCAAGTGCTAGGTCCTGAGTTCAATTCCTGGTACTGAAAAAAAATACGGAGATTAAGGATTAAAATAATATTAATGAAATTTCCAAACATTAAGCTTTTATTCTCTTTTCCTTATGTATTCCCACCAGGAAAATGAGGAAATCAGAATATCCAAAACCCATTATTTTTAATTGTGATAATATACATGTAACCTAAAATTTTACTGTTCATCTTTACAGCTAGTTTTTTTTTCTTTGGTACCGGGGATTGAACTCAGGACCTTGCGCTTGTGAGGCAGGCGGCAGAACCACTGAGCTAAATCCCTGGCCCTTGCTGTTCACCTTTAAAATGACCATCAATAACAATATGAAAGTAACATTAAAAGGTAAAAATTTCCTCCATTTCTCTAACAGGGTCAACAGATTTCATTGGCACCTCTTCAGAAGCTTGAAGAAGCTCTGTATGAATACCAACCATTGCAGATAGAGTCATGTGGACCTCCGGTTCCTGAGCTCGAGTTGTTAGGAAGACTTGGGTAAGTGGCCAAGAGAACTTCATGTTGAGGAGCGAATGTGGTCAGCTTTCTTCTGCTATTTTTAACTGGCATTTCAACAATCTTAGGGTTTTTTTTCTTCTTTCATAATAATTTTTATTATATGTACTCAGCTCAGTACCCATAGTCTTGTTTGTTTAACGTGGCTATTCATAAATATAAACAGTGAGTAACACTTTATTATATATCAGATGAAACACCATTCACTACATGCTGAACTAATTTTTTTAAAACTTCAAAATATAATTTTACAACCATTGATTACTGTCAATTTTAAGACATCATAATGTTCAAGAAGGGTTAATATACTTACTTTTTGTTTTGTTTTTGATTTTTTGAGACAGGGTCTCACTATGTAGTTCAGACTGGCCTTGAACTCACTACATAGCCCAGGCTGGCCTTGAAGTCCCAGTGATCTTCCTGGCTCAGCCTCCCAAGTGCTGGGATTACAGGTGTGCACCACCATGCCTGGCCATTCTTAGGTTTTTAGTTTAGAAGAACTTAACTTTTTTTTTTTTTAATTTGCAATGCCTAATACTGTTAAGTTTTACTTCATACAATACATTTTCAATGCACTTGTTAGGTTTCTTGGGATTGAGACTGGAATAGAGGTAGTTTCCTATTAAGTCTGTCCTTGTCAGGTGTATTGAAGTTGCTGTTCATTTTCAGCTCACTATATTTCTTTTTTCTTTTTAAGGTGGGACTTAACGTAGTAGTAAGTCAGTAAAAATATGGGCTCCTTGCCATAAAAAAGGGTACATTTATTTACTATCTACTGTCTGTAGTGAAACTACATTTATGAGACAGAAGCCATGAAATCTGTTTTGTCAAAAGATGTAATGTAGGGCTTACCCAGCACCTCAGTAGTCATGTTACATGCTTCCATTTTAGAAGTGAACCTGGGGTGTAGCTTTTGTGACTCATAGAGATGGTCACAGTGTGTCTCATGGGAGTAAGTGGGTATTTGACATTTGAGAAGTACAGGCACAGATGTTTCTGGATGAACCAAATTGTCTCTTGGTCTGGTTTCTCAGAGTAAACTATTCAGTGGATGATTGATCTAGAGACTGTTATTAATTAACAAAAGAAAATAATACAAACAGTATAATTTGAAAAGGAAGTAATGGGTAAGAGACCAAGTAATGAAAAATCGAGGGAAAAAATAAGACCTCAACAACAGAAATAAGAAAAATAACAAATAAGAAAACAGCAACAGAAATAAGAAAAATGAAACAAATAATAAAATGTACGTGCATCCTTGAAACAAAAATCAAAGTCTTGGGGCCAGGGATTTAGCTCAGTGGTTTCGCTGCCTGCTGGGCAAGCACAAGGACCCAAGTTGGATCCCCGGTACCAAAAGAAAAAAAAAAATCAAAGTCTTGGACATTATGTACAGTATTATACATGTGATCACTGAGGCTTTAAGGTAAATGTAAAATTAAATGAGTTATTATTTAAATCTGTTATTGGATAGATCTTAAGGCTAGATTTTCTTTAGTTCTCTATTCTCTAAAATTTATTCTCTAAAAGGCCTGCAGCCTCCAGGCATGAAGCCAATGGAATGTGAAACAAAACCTAACTCCCTTTGAGGTTACAAATTTATCAAATAATTGTCCTTTATGCTAAGATTAATGCTTGAAGAAGTACAGAATATTGTATTTTGTGACATAAAAAATTATATAGGCATTGATTCTTTAAATTTTTTATCGACCTACCAAGAGTTGTAACTCTGTATCTCTAAAATAAGTTTCTCTAAAAATCTTTACTTTTAATGCCAGTGAAGATAAAATACTTAAAACAGAAACTATTTTATTACAGGGTTTTACATTTTCTAATAGTTTTATCGTAAAAATTATATTTGAAAGATCAAGGAAATCATGTATAGTAATAGGGCTTTGTGTGTTTTATTACATTTGGAGAAGTAAAATGTATGACAATAGCATTATAAAGTATGAAGGAAAAGGAATTATGCTATTGTAATGTTCTTTTTTTTGGTATCGGGGATCGAACTTGGGTCCTTGCGCTTGCGAGGCGGTCGGCGGAACCACTGAGCTAAATCCCCGGCCCTATTGTAATGTTCTTGCTTTGTGATGGTGGAATGCTGGCTGGAAGTATTCTGCGATGAGTTAAAAATGTGTAATGTGGGGCCCAGGCATTTAGCTCAGTGGTGCTGCTGCCTGCCTTGCAAGCGCAAGATCCTGAGTTCCATCCCCAGTACCCCCCCAAAAAAAGTGTAATGTGAACTTCAAAACTTAAAGTAAAACAAGAAGAGATGGCCAATGAGAAGATAATAATATCATAAAAGTAGTTATGAAAAAGAAGGCATATTTCTTCTGGATCATGTGGAGGTTCTACTTTTAACTTGTTGAGGCCATTCCATATTGTTTTCCATACAAGCTGTACCAATTTATATCCTCACTAACAGTGTAATAGGGTTCTCTGTTCTCTGCAACTTTGTCAACTATAGTTGTGTTTACTTTTTGATAATGCTATCTTAACAGGTGTCAGGTGATATCTTTTTCTGGTTTTGATTTTCATTTTCCTGAGGATTGGTAATACTGAGCATGTTTTCATGTGCTACCTATTATTCATTCATATGTCACCCTTGGAAAAATTCAGATTCTTTCACCATTTTTTTTTTTTTTTTTTGGCACCGGGGATCAAACTCAGGACCTTGCACTTGCGAGGCAGGCGCTGGAACCACTGAGCTAAATCCCCAGCCCTCTTTCACCATTTTTAAATGGACTATTTGGCAGCAACAAAACAGGAAGATCTCCCCCCTGGGTTTATAGTTTATAGACTAAACAGCCAAAGTGGGCTTTGGCCAATCAGAATGTGTCTGGCTTGGCTTTTCTTTTCTCTTTTCTCTCTTCTCTCTTCTCTCTTCTCTCTTCTCTCTTCTCTCCTCTCTTCTCTTCTCCCCTCCCCTCCCCTCCCCTCCCCTCTCCTCTTTTTTTTCTTCAGTACCTGGGATTGAACTCAGGACTTTGTGCTTGCTGCACAGGCTCCGTGCCACTGAGCTACATCCCCAGTATCTGGCCTTTGTCAAAAATTATTAACAAGTGAAATATCAATTAGGAAACTGACCAGGGTGTCAGTGGCCAGCAGAACATGCTTGGCTGACTAACTTAAAAACTTGACATCTAGGGTTTGGGATGCATCCAGAGTCACCTGGTAGGCATGGTGACAATTTCAGCCAAGGTAACTTGTCACGTCAAGCCAGATGCCTACAGCTGGAAATAAAAGTAGAATCTGGAGGAGGACACCTAGGTAACCCTAGTTACCTCCCAGTGGCTCTGCCTCTAAACACGGTAGTTATATTAAGTTTCCACACTCTTAGTATCTCACAGTGGAGATTACATTTCAACAAATGAACGCCTGGGATACCTGCTCAAATCTTATCCAGACCAAAGCACTAGTGCTAAATTTCTTTGGTCTTGTCTTTTTGAGGATTTTCTATGTAACTGTCAGTGTCATCTGCAGACAGGCATAATTTTATTTTTTCCTTTCCTATTTGGATGCATTTTATTTCTTTTCACGTGTAATTGCTCCTGGTAGTATTTTTAGTGCTATGTTGAATAGAATTGAGATGGCATTCTTGCCTCACACTGGGTCTGGAAGAAAAAGCTTTCAGTTTTCCCTTAGTGATTATGATGTTAACTGTGAATTTTCCACACAAGGCTTTTATTGTGTTGATGTAACTTCATTCTAAACCTGTTCATTGAGAGTTTTTAATCATGAAAGGACTTTGAACTTCATCAAATGCTTCTGCATCTATTAAAATGATTATATGGTTTTTATTTTTCATACTTTCAGTGTGAAGTGTATCCCATTGATTTGGGTATAAATAAATCTTGTATCCCGCAGATAAATCCCATTTATTCATACTTTATAATCTTTTTTGGTATTGTGTTAAATTTGGTTTCTTAGCATTTTATTGAAGATTTCTGCATCTCTGTTCATTAGAGATACTAGCTTTTAGATTCTTTTATTTTGTTCCATGCTTTTTTCCTGTAGTGCCTTTATTTGGGTGTTGTATTGAGGTATAGAATGAGGCGTGGAGTGCTTTCCCTAGTTTTTTGGGAAAGTTTGAAAGGATTTATGTTCTTGTCTGTGTGTTTCATAAAATTAATGCTAGAAGTCATCAGGTGCAGGATGTTTCTTCATCAGAAGGTTCTTGATTACTATTTCAGTCTGCTATTTATAGGTCTGTTGAATAGATTTTCTGTATCTTAAGGATTTAATCTTGGTAGGTTTTGTAATGGTGGGAATTTTTCCATTTCATCTGAATTATTCATTTTGGGAGTATCATTGCTCTAATATACCTTTATCCTTTTTATTTCTGTAGAATTGGTAGTAGTATCCCTACTTTCATTTCCAATTTTAGTAACTTGAATTTGCTAAGTTTTTTTGTACCAGGGATCGAACTTGGGACCTTGTACTTGCGAGGCTGGCGGCGGAACCACTGAGCTCCCCGGCCCTTATTTGCTAATTTTTAAAATCATTTGACTAGTTTTTCTATCCAAATTGAGAGTAAGGTATTGAAGTCTCTATTATTGTAGAACTTTTTTCTTCCTTGAATTCTGACAACATTTTCTTCATGTATTTGGGTGGTCTGTTATTAAGTACACAAATGCTTTTATTTGTTGTATCTTTTAAATGTATTAAAGCCTTTTATTAATATGTTGTATTTTTTTGTCTTGCAGCCTCTTTTAGTTAAAAGTCTATTTTATTTGCTAGTAGTATTACTACTACTGTTTCTGCTCTATTTTGGTTACTATTTACATGGAATAAATAGCCTTTTCCAGTCTTTTTAATTTTAACCTACTTGTGTCTTTTAAACTAAAGTTAATCTCTTGTACACAGTATATAGTTAGAACATTTAAAAAATTCATTCTATCAGGGTGTGATGGTGTATGCCTGTATAATCGCAGCACTCAGGAAGCTGAACCAGAAGGATTGCCATGAGTTCAAGGTCAGCC